CCAGGAGTTCCAGGCCTACCAGGGCGTGCTGGACATGATGGTGATGATGGCATAAGAGGTACTGTTGTCAAACAAGCTCAAGGAGCAGAGCAAGTTATTTTAAGGAAAGAGAAGCCAAGTCAAACAATGCTCACTCAAAGCCTGAAACTTCTCCTTAAATCATTGTGAATCCAATCTCCTTTTTTATAGGAGATCGTGGCTCACCTGGAGTTCCTGGAGATCCAGGTTTTCCAGGGAAACCTGCTGAATGTCTTATTGGTCTGCCAGGTTTGCCAGGTGGCCAGGGAGCTACAGGCCCACCAGGTAGGACCTTCTGAATAAAATGTGCCATTTGGCTGGGTAGGTCATGATTTTCATAAAATCATAGAATCATTTTGGTTGGAAAATAACTTTAAGATCATCAAGTCCAACTATTAACTTAGGACTCCCAAATCCACCACTAAACCATGTACCGAAGGACCACATCTACATGTGTTTTAAATACCTCCAGGAATGGTAACTCAACCACTTCCCTGGGCAGCCTGTTCCAATACCTGACAACCTTTTTGGTGAAGAAATTTTTCCTAATATCCAATCTAAACCTCCCCTGGCACAACTTGAGGCCATTTCTTCTTGTCCAATCACTTGCTACTTGGGAGAAGAGACTGACACCCACCTTGCTACAACCTCCTTTCAGGTAGTTGTAGAGAGCAATAAGGTCTCCCCTCAGCCTCCTTTTCTCTAGGCTTGTGCCTTCCAATGGCCTGAGGGAACTGAAGTTGTTTCTGGATATTGGTTATAGGATAGTCATATGTGAGAAAATGAGAGCTCATTTAAAAGATGCACTTTCTGCAGATGGAGGAAATGCATGCAATGATTAAGATGGATTAAGATTCAGATTCCATTGGAGAGTATAAAGAATAATCACAAACTGGCCCAAATTCTGCAGGAAAAAGATATTTCAGTCATGTCTCATATGGGACTGAATTTAGATTCCTTGCTGCAATGCAATTGATAAAGAAACAAAACAGAGGAAGAGCTCAGCTAGATAGAAAACCAATTTAGGGTCTCAAAAGCTTTTTGGTGTTTTTTTGGTTTTGTTTTGTTGTTGTTGTTCTGGTTTGGGTGGTTTTGGGGTTTGTTTTTTTTTTAGAGAATTAATACAGAATTGGTGGGTTTTTCATGTTTGAGTTTTTCTGAGAAAGAACAGAATTGTCTACTCAAGCTTTTTTTTCCTTTAAAAAAAAACACAAAAAACCCCCAAGCAAACCACAAAAAAACCCCACACACACCTCTTCTAAGATTTCCTGAATGTGTATGTTGTCTTACAGGTCTAATGTTTAGCCTGCAAACAGGCAGAGTTCAAGATGAGTTTCATGCTCACGATGACAAGATAGAGATGAAGGTTTATTTTCCAGACAGATGTACCATACTACGATATCATGCATTTTTTTTCTTAGGAGGAAGAGGTTTACAAGGTTCAAAAGGAAAACTAGGTCCTCCTGGCTTGAGTATCCCAGGAATCTACGGAAATCCTGGGGAACCTGGATTAATAGGTCTTCAGGGAAATACAGGATTACCTGGTCCCAAGGGACAGTCAGGAAGGCCAGGAATCTCTGGTGTGCCAGGTAAGGATTTCCCAAATACTTGTTTTGACATAGGAATTAGGTCACTCTCTGCAAAAAGGTGTCAGTCATGCTTTTCCAAATTGAAGATGCTGAAATATTTTTCCATCAACAGTTTTCATATAGCATTGAGATCTATATGGAAAACAAAACATCATTCCCTAAATGACGAGGGTATCTTGAAGCTGTCATGACACAGTACTGAATTTTCTATAACAGTCTTCTGAGAACAGAAAGCTACCTTACATTGTTTTCTGTACAGTAATGTCCTTGCAGCAGGACATGAACAGTTAACATTCAAAGCAACTCCCCAGCATAATGGGAGTGTAAAGTGTTTAGTGGTTCCTACTCAGCATCCCTTTATAAACAGATAACTTGTTAATTCTATCTTCTTTTTCTTAAAAAGCAAGTTCAGATCTTAAGTGTGACAGAGTTGAGTCAGATCAAACTCTGTCACTTTAACCAGAGCTAACTTTAAGTAAAGTAGGTAATCCCTGTAGGTTTTTTTCAGAAATGTGTTCAAATTTGATTTGTAGAATAAATCAGGTATGTAATGCTTCTTATCTCTAACAAAGAATTTTTTCATTACTATCAAATCTTCCATGATTCTGTGGGAAGGAGATGGTACATACCTTTTTATATATGCAACCTGTAAAACCAATGATAAACATGTAGCGTTTGACTCAATTGCACAAACCTAGGCTTCTGAAGTCATTTGAGGGGAGCTGTCATGTCCCAGCTGGCCTTCAGCTCCTGAGCCAGAAAGGAGTGTCTTTCCCATACATCCCATGACAGGTCTGCCATCCCTGTGTGGAGATATCAGATACATTATCCTCACTGTCAGGTATTTCATTCATTGATAGCAGCTGTTGCAGCTACTAATCTAGGTGGTTTGGAGGTTACTATGTGTGTAAGTGCTGTTCATGTGCTTAAAAACTGGAAAACTGCCTTTGACAGTATGTTATAGACATGGAGAAAAAAATAAAATGAGCAATTAAACATTTAAATGACAGGCATACGTGTAGTTTTCTGAAGTTATATTTCACTGATCAAATACTAACAGATATGTTCCTATTACTTCAATTCCACAGGCTCAAGGGGAGAGCCAGGTATGATGGGCATGTTAGGAATTCCTGGACCCCCTGGCATGATTGGAATACCAGGCAACCCGGGTATCAGAGGCAAGTGGCCATAGTATCTACCTTCATTATTACTTAGAATACAGGAACTTCCATGCTGAAGTAGTCTTGTGATCCGTCTTGATGTATGTTATCACTCCTGAGCACACGTCATACCATAATTTCTTTGAGTCTTGGTAAATCTTTGACTTCTGTATATGTGCAGTACAGACTGAATGACAGCATTATTTTATTTTTTTTAGCAGCTTTGAATCACCACCTTTTTTTTTTAATTGGTATTTGTAAAAGTGGCTGACGATTTACTAAATAAAGAGCAGAGAGCTTTTTTGCTCTTATTTTTTCCCATCCCATTCATGTTCCAAATATCATTATTATATCTATTCAAAAGATTTCTTCAGAAAATTTCATTATATTTTCTTGCAGGTTCTTCTGGCTTCCCAGGACTAAAGGGAAGAAAAGGATTTCTTGGAGCAAAAGGTGAACCAGGTGATAAAGGTTTTCCTGGGCCATCTGAAACCTTGGTTAGTATTGGGAATAAAGGAGAACGAGGCTTAAAAGGTACGCATTCATCATTCTGTCATTCAAAACAGTTAGGGTTGTCATTTATGTTGCAATTACAGTGGACTCTAAAACATGGAAGAAACCGACTCTACGACCGAGTCTATTCACATGGCTTTGAAATAATTATTGCTGAACACTGTAACTGCCCTTTTATTTATGGGACAGTTGGATATTACATTGAATATTTATTTCCATTTTAACAAGTCCATATTCCTTAAAAAATTCTTACTGTAATGTTAAATCAGTAATAATATGTCAATAGTACTAGGAGGCTTATATATGTGTATGCTATCCATTCATATTTTTACACATTTAGTAGCCCGTGAGCACAGAAATGGGCATGCTTACCAACTAGATGCTGGATTGCAAACAAATTAAATCTGTTCAGAAATACTTCACTGTCAGAATAACTCCTTTGTTTGCAATATTAATACAGACTCTCTGTTTATAAGTTGTACATGCTTAACTAGTGCTGTCTGGCCGTTTTGTGTAGGCATTTTCCTATGGAAACTTTCAGAAAATTCCTTTTGTCTCCATATGAGAAATACAGAAGGCATTAATTGTGAGCTTGTGTCTTGCTGGTGTGTATTCACAGAGTGAAAATCCTATGTTCCACTTCTGCTTCATTAGCTTTGAGAGTTATAAAACTTTAAATTTTACATAAAACTTACATTTTAAGATGTTAGTTTATAATATTTTTTTAAATGAAACTTTGTTTTAGGAGTTCAAGGAAGAATGGGTCTAAAAGGAGAAAAAGGAGATACCGGTGTGCAAGGTTCCCCAGGTCTTGATGGGTCTGAAGGAATACCTGGTCTACCAGGTATGGAATACATATATTGAAAATTACTGTATCACTTGGAGGGTAGAAATAATATTACCTCAATGCTAGCACATAAACTTGGCTCTCGCAGCAGCACTACATTCTCTGTATTAATGCTGAAGCTTTTCTGAGAATTCTGAAACTGAGCAATTTCAAAAGCTGCTATTTGAAAGTCATAGCAGCTACCACCAAATGAATCTTGTTTTCCTTCCAAATATAGACCATTATTTGGGGTAATAAATAGAAATTAATATTAAATCCTAAATAACTTCAAAATCTAAAAGCTGATGAGGCCAATGAATACAAATTGGTATTTACGCAAACGAAGAGAAGTTTGAATTCCCAGTATTATGAAAAAAATATTCTAAAATAGGAACATTACAACTGTGCACAAAAATATTTCAGAAGCTTTTTTTTTTAATTTCAAATTGATTCTATTTCTCTTTTCAAAGCCTGCATGTTTGGCTTATATTTTGAAAGTTACCCAGACTTCAGTGAAAAGCAGACTTAAAAAGAACCTGCATAAATTATAATCCTACCTAAGCCATTTCTCAAGGTTTTGCTCTGCCTTTACCACAACATCATACATAATGATACATGTTTGATGTTTGTGTGAGACAATGCATTTGTTTTTACAAATTAATGCTAATAAAACAGCTTTACTTCTATTTATTCTTTTTTTTTTATTTTTTGAAATAACTTATTTCTAGAAAACCATATGACACTATAATTAGATACATAAAAGTGGTGACAATTAGAAATCATTTTAAACTTGTAATCAAAGCGGCTCTTCTCATGATGGCAGTTATCCATGCTATATGTCATTATAACATTGCTGCTATATTCTGTCATTAACATCCTTTGTAGTCATTGCAGTGTAGCCATCACAGGAAAAATTGCAAATGCTCAACTACTGCCTAACTTTTTATGGAAGAAAATAAGACCTCACCTTCCTGAATGTTCAGGCATTCCTAGTACCCTGGTAGTTAAACATCTGGACATTCTAGATGCGACTAGGTCTTGCAGTCATTAAACTGAATGCTAATTTAGCTAAATTAAGCTAAAGATAAGTGAGTGGGGGAAAAGTGCCTAGGCCATATAAGATAAAACTCTTGAGTATGCTAGAGATGAGAAGTGCATAATGGGTAGGTAATAATGTGATTGTGGCATGGCCAGAAACCAGACTGAACTCAGGGGGATGATGAAAGGAGAGTCCAGTGCGTAAATACCAATTCATGATCTTGATCACAATTTGCAAAAGTATATTTCACTTGCCGCCCCTAAGGGCTGTGGTCACAAACCTTAATTTTAATGTTGATACATAAGATGCTTGTTATCTCCTTGACTTTCTGACAACAATAATGATAAAATTATCTGTGTCTGGGACAAGAGGAAGAATTATCCTTTGGCTGCATGTTGATCTATAAAATAATAAGGTACCATGACTAGTTGTGCGGTAGAGGATTCTGTATTCATGACAGCTCTACCAGCCAGCCAGTGTCCAAAGCAAACATGTGAAGATGACACTTATTTCTTCATCTTGCAGGTGTCAAAGGATTTATGGGTCTTCCAGGGTTTCCTGGAGGACAAGGACTCCCAGGTGCACCAGGGAATAAAGGGGACATGGGAATTCCAGGTCATTTTCTATCAACTCATGTTACAAATTCGTAGAGCTGTATAGCATCATTTGCACAGATCTGAGCAGTTACTGACTGTAAGCACACTATACAATACTTAAACTGGGATTTATTCTTTGCAGTAATTATAGGCTTCTTACCACCCCAGCATTTGCTTTACTTGCAGAATGCAGTTCTCCCTCTCTCTAAATGAAATATAACTTCTTCAATTTATATATTGTTACATGTAAGAACCTCTTCTCAATGTTTCTAGAAATAAAGTCATGCCTGTGTAAATTACTTTATCTTTAATAACGAATGAATATGTGCGTATAGTAGTTCACAAAACATGAGGTGTGGTATGCAGTTATGATCCTTGTAAGAATGGTATCAGTATCTGTATTTTTCCAGGTCCAAAAGGACAAAAAGGATCTCCAGGCTTTCCAGGACCATCAGGTGACCCTGGTCCACCGGGCTATGGTGGCTTTGCAGGTGACAAAGGAGATCCTGGGTACCCATCTCCTGGGCCTCCAGGGGAGCCTGGCCCAAAGGTATAAAGGCAGTGGAAACATTGTCATATTAGTCAGTAAGCAGAGCCTTTGAGAGCTTGCAGAAATAGATGATTTTTTAATGATAAGAAATACAAAAATCCTATTGTGTCATTACTCAGGAGAAATTTCTGAGTTCATTATAATTCATTTTTTGCTTGGTGCAAGAATTTCTTATTTGTAAAGATGGAATATCTTGGAAATAACTTTGGTTTTGTAAAAGTTGCTAATCCATTAAGAAAGAGGACTTACACTTAAAAAGTCAGCAGTAGGAATATTTGTACATTAAAAAGTACAGAAAAACATAATCTTGGCAAATTCAAGAGTTTTGTAATCTAAAATTGTAATGTTGGCTTTTGACAGTCTGGTAATATCATTACTCAACATATATTATGTTCAGTAATATATATTGCTAAGAAAAAAACAGTGTATTTTACGTTAGGTCAATTGGATACAATTTTGCTCCACATATTCTGGGTGTTGAACAACTGGGAGTCTTTTTAATAAGAGATTATCTGAAATACGTGGTTCAGACTGTAAACTGTACTATAACTCCCGTAATTTGTCTAAATTATCTGTTTATTTTCTGTATCAGCTAGGTGGCCACAATGAATTTACTGTCATGAAAGTCAGTAGGAATTCAAGGAAAAATATGCATTTCAGTAATTGGTATAGTTGCATATTATGGAACTGTAAGGAATATAAGTTTGGATCAAAAAAGGAACTCTTAGCATAAAATTGAAGGGACATCTGGGTGCAGGTGAAAACATCTAGAGACTGAAGTTGGTTTGTACAGATTAAATAATGAATATTTTTCTTAGCTATGTCTAAAAGATCAGTGGTATTATGAGAAGATTTCATATTAGTCTACTTTGATTTTTGTATGAAAATCAAATGAACCATGATTACACTTACATAATCTTTAAAATGATGTATGATTTTTCTATTGTTCAAACATGGAATGTAATGTATTTCATGTAATGTGATTCTTACGTGTTTGTGTGCAACTGCTGTTTCTCAGGGAGATCCAGGCCTGCCAGGAGTTTTGGGCAGCAAAGGAGAAAAAGGATCCCAAGGTCATCCAGGACATAAAGGAGTACCAGGACCACATGGGACCAGAGGGGAAACTGGAGGTGCAGGAGTCCCAGGTATGTTTTGGTTTGGAGTGGTGAGATGTTGACACACTTCTAGAAGAAGATAATTTCTCAATAAACTACACAGAGTGGCTGTGAGGTGGCACGTTTATGTTCAACTGCTGTGAACCTAAACAGCTCCTTTGTAGTCAGTGTGGCCAGGCTAGCTTATGTCATCTAGAGATCTTTCGCAGCTGTCCGAAGCAGAAATGAAGCAAAGTTCTCAGACTTAGTCTGGATCCAGTGATGATGCCTTTTCTCTTCTCCCACACTCTTCTTACAGGGAAGCCTGGACCTCCTGGACATATTGGTGTTAAAGGACGGCAGGGTCACCCAGGACGACAGGGTGTTGCAGGCCCTCATGGTATGGTATATACCATGTCTCCCAAGTCACTGCCCCCTGGTTTGTTATTTTCTTTGTAATGAGGCAACTGATGTTCTTCTGAGCTTTTTAGAATTCAACTAATGCCATTGCAGTCTCTGTTTATGTTAGTTCTCTGGTTCCTGCTAAGGTCTTTAACAGCCTGTTTTCAATGTTACCAGTTCCGCTGAGGCAAGAGGTTTTAATTTTGTTTCACTATCGTAAAGCTTTTTGCCTTTTTTTTTTTTTTTTTCCATCTAGACGTCTCAAGGTGTGATTCCACACAATTGTAAGAAAGGCTTGTTCTACCTCCTAAAAGAGAATAATAAATTAAGATGTAGCTAGATGAGGAGGAGAAGAAAATGAATTAGAGTGGAAAAAGGGGACAGAGTTGCAGTTGTTTGTTAAAGCAACAGAAAAGATCAAACCATTCAAAAATACGGGAGTGTGTAAATATGCAGCAACAGAGAGGCATGCAATGCAGCCTTTATTAAAGTGAGTGCCAGTCATTGTCTCCAATAAGAGCATTAAGAGCTCTTATATTCAGAGATCCTCATCAAAGTTATGATGATGTAGTTTTGCAGAATTTAGTGAACTTGCACTTACTTATCAGCAGAGTTAGCAAAGATCAGAATCTACTCCCTGTTTAGAGAAACCTTGAATTTGTAATAAAGCCAGGGAGAGGAATGATACTGTGGTCCGTTATAATTCACAGGTCCTGTTGGAGACCCTGGAAAAAATGGGCTTGTTGGTGAAAAAGGTACTCAAGGACAGGATGGTATGCCTGGTCCCCCAGGAGTAAAGGGAGAGCCAGGTAACGCCAGTGAAATATTTTCATTCTATTTTACAATTGGTTTTTTTCCCTAGTTAAACTGACAAGGATTATTTGGGAAGGATTAATAAGGAGCTTCTGTGGAGCCAAAGATAAATTTATAAGTAGACAGTTTTTCACTTTATAATTCACAGGTTTTTCTGTATAATTGTTGTACATGCTGTCAACAACTCAAATGCATATGTCACTGCTCTTTTATACATGTGATTTGTCATAACTTCCCCTAAAAATGTTAATGTCTGCAAGAGCCAAAGTATTGCTGTTAACAGTTCTTATGTGTTTAATCTCAAAGAGATGAAAAGAACCAAAATCCTTTTAAAGGAGTCTCCTCTCTTACGTGGAAATAAGATAAAAGGAATCACAATGTTTACTTGTATAAATAGCGAAGGTTTCCATGACCTGGCCCTTGAGTTGCAAAATCTTTCATTTAAATGTCACTCCTAATGTGATCAAGGTCCACAGATAGATTTAGTCCTCCACTGAATTCTGACAGAAAGGGTTTTTCATATTTTACAGTGAAAATGTTTATTTGCATATTAGTATAAAGAGAATACTGAGAAGGCATTCATAGTATTTAGTAAGTCTTTCATATGAAGTTTGAAGTAATCACTGTTAACATATTTTCTGCTTAGGTATTTACATTTCTTCCTTTATTTTTCTTAGCATCTAAGTTAAATGCAGATTTTTCTTCTGTGTTTTTTTTCCTCTGAAAAAAGACAAAGCTTGTTATTGTAGAATGTACCTCAAATATGATCGATCATGATATGATTGAGTTCCTACTATAAAGAAAATCTTAAAAATTTAATTTTTATTTCTGGATAGAAGAAATGGAAATAACCAATAAATTGTATTTTATATATAACTAAAATCTACATTTTGATTCAGTGAATTTTGAAGAAATTTATGAAATATTAGACAACTATGATGTTTTCTAACAATTATTCAGGACTTGGAGTATAACATGACCTAATATTTTATAGGAGCACCCGGGAGAGGAATCCCTGGCTTTCGAGGTATTCCTGGTCGTAGAGGTGAGTTGTCTTTCTCAGAAAGCAAAAGCTTAATTTTTAAGTACCAGAATGGTCATCTTCATCTTTACGTCATCTCCTGCTTTTGGGTACTTGAGATGGCACTAAGAGTGTCAGAGGAAATCAAGAGTGATTCCGTGCTTTTGATCAATGATTTGGTGCTATATATTAAATGTCAAGAGTTCTTGCTTCTAAAGTTAAGACTATTGTAAAAGGGGAAATGAAGAAGCTAACTTCTCTGGTTCTGTGAAAGCAATATACACAGTCTAGAGCTTTTGAAATTTTATTTTGATACATAATTTGATTAACAGAGTATGCTCTAATGAAAGCAGATGCTGGTGCTGAATACTAAGCATACTCTAAGCAAGCTACAGTGATTGCATTTTAATTTTGTTCATCTCTCTTTTTATACTGATGAACAATTGAGAGGACTTCCCAATTTTTTTGTTTTGCATTGTATTTATAGTACTGGTAGAAACACATTGATTTGCTTTACTTTAAAAAAAAAAAAAAATTCTCTCTTCATACCCTCCATATACAGATCATGCACCCTAAGATCAACCTTAGAAGAATACCCTTTTCAAGTAGTCTCTTTTTTTATTATTCTCATATTGATGCTTTTAGCTGGCATTTAGTTTAAAAGCATTTGCCATTTCTGATGTTCAAAGAAGCATTTCTTGTACTCATGCATCAAGAAATATTCTCTGCTCTGGTCTTTCTACCCTCCTCTCAAACTTACTCCTTTGTATGAGCAATCTCTGAAGTGAAGTTTTTAAAAAAAAAATTAAAAGAGCAGTGTGTACACTACCTTGCAGTAAGTCCTGTCTTCTCACAACTATTTTGCGTTACAGTAGCAAGGGGGCTTTGGGGATTTCTCCATACTTAAAGGCTGAATTCCACCTTTGCAGTATAGTAAATGCACATATCCTGTGTAGTCACATCATCTTACCATCTTGACAGCTCTCCCCACATGTAATACTTACGCTTTGCAGGAATCAAAGGGAACATGGGACTGCCTGGTTTTCCTGGGCCAGCAGGTATGAAAGGTCATCAGGGTGATCAAGGACCCGTTGGACCTCCTGGCTTAGTGGGGTTACCTGGATTTCAAGGCGCAACAGGCGTGGCAATTACTGGCCCAAAAGGGAACAGAGGTATTGCTGGTGCAGATGGAAGACCAGGTGTGTTGTTACAACTTCTTATTTATCTGAAATGATATACTGATAATTGAAAGCAGAATTCAGCCTGGCCAGAACACAAGGTTGAAAGGGGTCTTCCCCCAAGAGATCTTCATAATTAAACAGGTAGTTTCTTTACCAGTTAATGCAATGTTACCATTGCAAACACTGTGATGGTTTATGCAGTATGATGTAAATTAAAATAACGTTAAGCTTTGCAGTCCACTGGATTGCATTATTTTGCTTTCTTCCCATGGAGTCTCTAGGGCAGCTGAGATTCAACTTTAAAGAAGGCTTGAGATAACAGGCATAACTACAACTGGAGGATATTCAAAAAATGGTGGTGCTATAGAGTACTGCAACAACTCAGCTCTGATCTCAGATTAAATTAGCAGGCTAGGAAAAATGAGTTGATTTTTTAAAAAATGGGTATATTTACTTGGGAATCACTGAGGTGGTAAACATGAGTACCATTATAGAGTTGTTGAATGCTGTACTGCATTGTATGTAATGTATGTGAAATGCTGTTGGCAGTAGTCTTTACTTACTCTGATGTTTCTGTGCAGGTGCTCCTGGTTTTCCAGGGCCTCCTGGTCTTCCCACTCCCAGCGTGAAAGGAAGCAAAGGTGTTAGAGGGGCAGATGGCATACCAGGGCCAACAGGCCCAGCTGGCGACACTGGGCCTCCCGGTCCAAAAGTCAGTGAAAGGAATATTGCTTGTTTCTTACTCTATTGTTAATTTTGCTCTTACCATGAAAGTAACACCCAGGATAAGTTAAACCAAAACAAAAACCCCACATCCTCCCCAAAAAAAACTTGTAATGGAAGGAAGATATTAAAATGGATACAAAAAGCAGTTTTCATGGACTTAAGTGGACCAAAAAGAAATTATTGTGAATTTCTGGCATGTCATTTCCTTGGCCATTCTGTATTACAGAATAACGTTAAAAATGATATGACTATTTCTAACATGCTTACAAATGGAGCAGATAATTCTAGTTGTAGCATATTCTTTGAACATAATGCTTTAAATATTCTGAACAAAAAAGAAAATCTACTTCATTGCATGCAGATGCTGCTTCTCGTTTATTATTGGTGTTATCTGATTTGCAGGGAGTAGAAGGTCGATCAGGTTATCCTGGTGCTAGAGGGGACCCTGGATTTCTTGGATTCCCAGGTGTAAAAGGTATTCATAGATTTCATACGTACACTTCTTTGTGCCAAATACAATCATTTACACACATACTATTATAACAAACATGTAATAGTACCAGGTCTAGTCCTAGAGACATGAGGTTTTTCCATCAAGAGCAAGGTGTAGGTCAGCTATAAATGAAAGGGTTTACGAAGAGAGCATTTTTGTTGAGTTAGATGCTATGGATATGTCCGAACTGATGTTAAAGTGAGGAAGGGGCTGAAACTTCAATGGCCTCCATTCCAGGCAAATTCAAAACAAGTTTGTCCTTAGTGACTATTAATGTATAAGGACTTTGGGACTGAGTCTGCCACACCACTGCTAGAAGATGAGACTTTTTGGCAACCTCTTAGCTGCAGAACTCAAGAGCGTTTAATCATAATTGCAAGACAGAGCACTGGGTCCTCTGTTTGCCCTAAGAATAGCCCCAATTACAATCTAATTCACCAGTTTGTCTGCAGACAAACTGTTAAATGTATTGGCTTCAATAATTTAATATTCGTGACGGTTAGTTGGATCAGTAGCTGGCTAAAACTCCTGTTAATTTAGACATTTTTCTAGTGATTTAAGTCTGATATAGGTCTGCATTACTCCAATATTCTCATTTTTCATTTATATGATTTACAGTGACACAAAATTGTCATTACCTGTTTAACCTACTGGTTTGTGTTCCATGCTAATTATTGTTTATTTTAAACTTGTTCTAATTTGAAAAGTCACCGTACAGACAGTAATTATACTTTCTTAAGCAAAAAGCTCTCATTTCACGGCACAGTCAGTCAAATCTCCTGACTTGATGATAAAAATACATTTTTAATTTTTTTTTTTTCCAGCAGAGCTGTGGAGAGTAATCTGGATGTAAACTCATGTTATGCATGGTGAAAAGAATTGCTTAAGTTTCAACAACTTGAGAAACTGTACAACCCTCTGAACAACCATCAGTATAACTGACAGTAGGATTTAAAGGGAGTTGAACTGCACAGCATCACTGAAGGCGGCACTTGACCTGCAAACTCAGTGACAAAAACTCCTAAGATAAAAAGGACATAGTCTAAAGTTGAGATTTTAAGCTAGGTTTATGGGACCGGCCATTATATGAAGATAGGCATGGAAACATCATCTTACAAACTGACTGCACTTGGTCTATAAATTATACAGTAATAGCAGAGATGTAGAAGTCCACGCTCACATTTCAAATGAGTCTACAGGCTGTGACTTTGGGAACGTTGCATGGATAATGCAGGATTCTTAAATAAGCCTCTGAATCTTTGACAGTTGTTTTGACATTTTGAACCAGACAGATGTATCTCCAATCTTCTTTTTTAGGAGAAAAGGGTAATCAAGGACCCCCTGGACCACAGGGTGCAGAAGGGCCAAGGGGACCAAAGGGCCAGCGTGGTAACCAACCCTTCTCAATCTAATACCAGCTGACTTAGGTTGATTTGTTTGGTTTGTTTTGTAGTTTCTTTGGTTTCTTTTAATATAAAGCAATAGCTCTTCATTATATTTGTGCTGCTAGGTCCACCTGGAGTCCCTGGGAGAATATTCTCTGTCCCAGGAAGCAAGGGTCCTCCTGGACTGCCAGGAATCCCAGGAACACCAGGTGATCAAGGAATTCAAGGGATTCCTGGACTACAAGGTGGTTTATGTTTTTATCTCTGTACATGTTTGTGTGTGCTGCTTAGTGGAACATTTTGGTTTGGTGGGAAAACATGCTTCTGCATGAAAAATTGACATATCTTTAAAAATACCTCTCTGTATTTAAAAATAGCTCTTTGCAACTTTCTTTAAAGTTGTTTTGCATTATTTATAGAATTACAAACAGTGACCAAGAAGATTATAGCCTGTTACTATATTTTTGAAATATTTCTATTATATGACACATGCTAAAAGAAACAGCTATTTGCTTTGGTTTCTGTAAACATTTCTTATGAGAATAATATTTTTCTATAATATATTCAGTATTTCCTTGTATTCTTCCTGACAGGAGATATGGTGACAGTAGCACTACAGCCAGTCTCAAAACTTAGTAAATTCTTGGTGATGTTTTTATTCTAACACAGCTACATTTACATGGGGACTTTAACTTTTTAACAGTTGTTAAAATCTAGAGTAACTACTGCTATATGATTCTGTTTGGTTGGGTTTTGTTTTTTTTTTTTTTCTTGATTACAATTTAGGACCTAAAGGAGTAAAAGGTCTACAAGGAAGTTTTGGTCATCCAGGTAAACCAGGACTGCCTGGTCCAAAAGGAGACAGAGGATTTCCAGGACAAAGAGGTACAGGGAAGCAGATATCTCTGTTTGACTGCTACTACTGAATTGACAGATAAACTGTATTCCTGATTTCCGTAAATCCTTCCTCTTGCTTGTATTGAGATTCTGTAACAATTACAATAGCTTTAGGGCCACGAGCTCATGTAAGCACATTCTTAGCTTTTAACAGATGCATGTTCACAACTGAAATAATAATTTACAAAAATAGGCCTTGACGGTGCTCCTCTGTTATTAATAACATTTATTTATCCACTTGAAATCCCTAGGTATCAGTGTACTTTATATGACATCAAAATAGAACTAAATATTTTTATTTAGTCATTATAAAATGTTTTTACTTTACGACCTTTTTGGTAAAGATGGCCACAGATCTTTTAAATACCTCACTATTCCATGAAACTATGCAATGTAAAGCTACCTGAGCTAGGTTTGAAGGAGTTAATACATCTAGCAACAAAAAGTACCAATTTTCAAGTTGTATCTTCTTATTGACAATTTTTTTGTTAGTTTTCAAGTGGTTCCATGAAATTGAAGTGTTTTACTTTTTAAATGAAGTAAAAATTCAAACAAAACGATAATATTTGCAGTCATATTTATTTCCCCTCCACAGGAAGACCTGGACTGATTGGCTTTCCAGGTCTACAGGGATTACCTGGATTACCAGGTACTATTACTGCTGGTCCAACCAGAAGAGGTTTTATCTTTACCCGGCATAGTCAATCAACAAAGATTCCTTCATGCCCACATGGGACATCACAGATCTATGTTGGCTATTCGCTGCTTTTTGTACAAGGAAATGAACGAGCACATGGACAAGATCTTGGTACTGTATTGCTAAAAATTTTCAGATAATTTTCTTTACAGTAATGCTAAGTTGTCATGAAACCAAACTCACAGTAAGTGTCCAAGGTGAACACTGGTTTCAAGCATCAGTCTCCAGAGTGGTCTGCTGCTCTTGAGTCAATTCAGGAATCATGGCTTGAAAGACACCTTTTTTCCCTGCACTCCTATATTCCCTTTTTGCTATCCCTAGATATTTTTGAGGAGGAATTCAGTTACTTATGGATAGATGTCTAGTATAGATATTCACAACATCTGCACAGGGCTGACAGTAACAACACAGGATGAGAATCTTGCTTTTTTGGAGACCAAATGGGATGCTGTAGGGTGTCAAAAATGGCACCAGAATCTTTTGTTTAAGCAGCTGAATCCCTGCCACTATGTAAAGGACTGATACCATTCAAGAAGATGGTATTATTTTAACAGGCTGTGTTCTTAGCCCTTAGTTTTTATATACATATTTTATATATACCATAAGCATTTTGCTTTTGGATAATTCCACTGTACAGACACTTCTCTCTTTGTAGTTACCAACTGTTTTAATTCTCACTACAGTGGACTGGATACCATCATGTTTCTCTTCTGTTTGCTGTGCTAAGTTAAGGTCCTACCTGTCACAAACCTCTCCTCTTTTGTCTTTTAGGAACAGCTGGTAGCTGCTTGCAGAGATTTACCACCATGCCATTCTTATTCTGTAACACCAATGATGTTTGTAGTTTTGCTTCTCGCAATGACTATTCATACTGGCTGTCAACTGCAGCAGTAATGCCAGTAGACATGGCACCGATTTCTGGCAGGGCCCTAGAGCCCCATATAAGCAGGTAAGAGTATAAGAATTTTATTTCTTCTGGCCTGGAACCACAAAGACATCATACATTGTTTTGAATGGCAAATCTTAGGTAAAGACCTGCCCATCTTAGCCAGTACAAGCGCTGTTTTTAACCACCTGATTTTTGATTACTCACCTGAATATGTCAGATATTCAGTGATACTCTAAGAAAAGTTAGATTAAAGCTAGGGTCCCACCACAGGGCTTAATCTGCATAGCTGGCATAAGAAGGTGGTACACAATCCTACTGACTGCAGTGATATTTAAAAAAAAAACAAAAACAAACTGTTACAGAGTATATTGGAGGCAGACTAAAATGAAATAAAGACAGCTTCATTATTTGGAATACAGAATCAAATTCTGCTTTCAATTATGTGTGATACATTTACTGTAGGTGGTGAAGAACACTGTAAATCGGGGCTGAAGGTTCTCTGCTGTGAAACACCCTTGTGTGCATGTAGCTCTTTCTAGTTGTTTTAGAACAGCTGAGAAGGATGAAGAGCATCTTAAGAGGAAAAGCTCTAAAAGCATGAAACACCAAGAATAACAAAATCAAAGATGGGAAGGCAAGCTTTGCACTCTTGTCTTCTAGCCTACCCTATCCACTTGTTGCAGTCTAGTAGCTCAGCTTCGTAGTTTCTTCAGTTAGGAAATAAAGTTTACTTTTTCTAATCTTAGCAAGTAAAGGTACAGAACTTTGATCTAAACCATAACATAAAGTAGTGAGCACATGAAGAAGGTAGAATCTAGCTTGTTACTTCAGTAAAGGCAAAATTAGGAAGCTCAAATGTTCTGGGACTAACTCCCATCTTATAACATTTTTTGTCTGGTATTACTAGTAGAGATTGCAAAGCAAGGCATTTGGGTTACCTTCAGTTTACTTATCTCCTCATTAAACAGCGAAAACCTGTGAGTTGTAACACTTATAGTAAACCCTGCCATTAGATAGCTACTATCCTAGAAGATACAATTTTTGTCTACTCACATGTTTTCCCTCATATCTGCATTGAACGTATGTGCATTTCTTCTTACAGATGCGTTGTCTGTGAAGGAGCTGCAATGGTAATAGCAGTTCACAGCCAAACAACTGTAGTTCCTGCATGTCCAGAAGGCTGGATATCTCTCTGGAAGGGTTTTTCTTTTGTTATGGTAAGGATATAAAGACTTGAATTGTTAATTTTATGTCCCCTCACTTTCATTGGTGTTCTCATCTGCTCATAGCTCATTTGTTTCTTAATAATTGTTAAATTCTTTTTTTTTTTCCCCTTTCCCAAGAAGTAGACAATAATTCTATTAACTCTTATTGAATACCAGAAGCATAGCAACAACTATTTTGAGCTGTCCTCAAAAGCAGTTGACAGGAGGAAAAGGGGAAAAGATAAAAGGAGACCCATAGGATTTTCGCCTGACAAAAATAACTGCATGCTCTCATTTTCATGTGTCGTGCTAAGATCTAGGAAACAAGTTTAGGGAGTGGAGTGGTTAAACCAGTCCTGAACACAAAAACACAGAAATAACTGACCCAATTCCATGCTAGGCAGTTCTTTTATAAATCAGATCCTGAGGCTGAAATACACAGAAAGCTAAAATCAAAACAAATGCAGTACACTGTCTACAAAAGATTGCCTCAGCAATTTTGATGCCATAACGATATACGAGTGAAGAAAGTTCATAATGTGCCTACAAAGTGAGAACTGATTATGGGAATAAGGGTGTATCTATACTAGGGGATATAGCACTTCATCTTTGTTATCCATGCCTGTGGGGTATCATAGGGATGCCAGCAAATGAGGGTGAAAGACAGAATTAAAACTCCCTCTTTTTTGCATGACGTAAGTCCTTTTAGGTCTAGTGTCTCCCCTGGGATTTGGCCCTAAGTAGTAATACTAATACTAATCTTGGAAAACAATAAGAGAAATTAAATCATTTGCTGGTTAAAATAATTTGCTTGTTTCCAGCATCAGCAAATGTAAATGGTATTTTCTAGCCAATTTTCTACTGTCATAAATTATTTTAGAGCTATTTCTACAGGCATTTACCAACATCAGAGAAGGAAAATGCTGCCTTTGCTTTTTGTGTTTGGAGAAGCAATCAATGCAACAAAAACCTGAACACATACAAAATAGGGGACTTGGCTTATTAGTAATTCAGTTGCTGTAGTCCTCAACTGGACAGAAGCCAGCTACTTTCTAGTCTTTGTACTGGTTGCAGTTTCATGCCTTTTCATGGAGCAGAAAAAGGCTTTTGCAGGAACATAAGAAATGCCATAACTGTGCTTGAATTTTCATAAGGCTTCTGTGCTTCATTATAAGTGTGATAAAACTAATCTGTGTTCATTTTGTTTTGTCCAAAATACACCACAGAACATATGGTATGTTTTAGAAAGAGGTTGGGTTTTTTTGCCTGCAGTTTACTAAAAGCTAATGGACAAGTTCTCATAAAAAATGTATTGGTGGTTACAGTATACGAGTGCGGGCTCAGAAGCTTCTGGCCAAGCATTGGCATCTCCTGGATCTTGTTTGGAAGAATTTCGAGCCATCCCGTTCATAGAGTGCCATGGCAGGGGGACGTGCAACTACTACACAAACTCCTACAGCTTCTGGTTAGCATCATTAAATCCAAGAAGAATGTTCAGGTAAACTGTACTTCCCTGCATCCATACGCATTGCATCCATGCTGCAAGTGCCCAAGGAGACAATAACTGCCCGTGTAGCATGTGATTCCCCTCAGGTTAGACATCCCCCTTTGTTAGGTTTAGGGTCGTTCAGTAGCACAAAGATGCCTTAAGTGAGCCAAGGATTTCAATGTGGTTGTCAATAATCCCATACCCAACGTTTCATAATCTCTCCCTGTTTTTTAAAGAAAAAAGTAAATGTTTTCTTTCTTTTAGGAAACCTCTGTCACAGACTCTGAAAGCAGGAGAACTAGAAGATATCATCAGCCGTTGTCAGGTCTGCATGAAGAGACCAGTCTAAACAGTGGCCACTCTTGATGGAACATGAAACTCTGCTTTTATTACAAAGAATTGCCTAATGCTGAAGAGCTATAATTTATTAAAGTCCAACTGCATCTGGAAAGAAAACTATAAATTGCCAGTGCAGCACTGTGGTGAGGTAGGGCAACAGTTTGACTTTTGTCTTTGGCAAATGACAAAGCACTTTGTTGGAGAAAGCTTGTAATGGCAGTCTGCAGGGGCTTCTCCTGACCTGTGGCATTTCTAAGCTGCATCTTCATGATAAAACTATGGCATTGCCAGATCTTTAAAGAAAGATGTTAATGCTGCCTTGTGTCATGTGCTTTTCAACCTGCAATACAAACAAAATACTCTAGTATCAGCTTACGTATATTCAGTGTTCAAGGTGGATATAATTTAAGATGAAAATCTGGCACTTATGAGAGATAGGGTTCAATAGGAAATATTTTCAGTGCACTTTTAAATATATATTGATTCATTTAGAGGTTTGTTTTGCTTTTCGTGTCTAATAAACAATTATCTCCCCACTTACCTCACCCTTCCTGTAGCTGGCAAACAGGAGTACAGTCTTTTTTGCATCACTATAACAATAATGGTTCTTGACTAGCCAGAAAGGGAGCTACACCGTGCACTGGGCAGACAGTAGAGTGGTGACACGCATGAGCTGTGGTCTCCAGAGTGACTACGGCTAAGGGCTGACTAATTGAAAGTGTTGGAAAGTTTTCATTAGATTCCATTCTTTTGACACAGATCATGAGATCTTTTAAATTCTTCAAAAGTTGACAGTATTGGGCCTTTATTATGATCACATGCTTTTGTTGTTCTTCCACAACAACTGTTTAGCATATCATAATTTGTGATTTTGATGGAATTAGCAATTACTGTATGGCTCAAGGGGTCCCATGGCATTATCAGGTTATCACACACCCATCAGGATGTGATCTCTATTTTATTTTTAATAAATAACAAAATAATATTCACATTTGATAATATTCCTTATTTAAATATTTATCACAAGGTATATTCTGTATTTAAATATTTATCACACATTTCTGCAAATGAAACCATTTATTCCATCCAGTTAAATGCATGCGTCCAAATTTTTTAAAAAAAGTCTGATATTTCAATTGTACCATCTGAGCACTGACTTATACAAGAGAATCCAACTAAATTAAATACTTGAAAAGCACTTTCATTTACTCATATAACTTATATAAAATTGTAGCTCTGAGGTTTTTTTATATTTATAACATTGCACTTGCAAGGCTATTTAAAATTGTAATGTTAACATTTAAAATGTTAATATTTTTAATACTTGCACAATCTATCAGAATTCCAGTATTTAGTGTTATAGACGAAGCCTAATTCATCTGAATAGTTCTGTAAATGCATCATTTTAAACGTAGGGTCGAGCAATTCATTGAAATAACCAAGATTTATCATTTAGATCTTTTTTTTTAAGCCAGTGAAATTTTATATTGTTTCTGGTAAAATACTTGCATTGTGTTTGTCTGACTGTTTGAATTTTCAGTGTTAACCTAAGAAAAAGTTTCATCTGTGTTTCATGCCAGTATCTTCTGATGGAGCTAACGTGAAGACACCATTTACATGAACTGAATGCGTATTTTAAAATTATTGTTTGCTTGAACAGTCATAGTACTTCTGTTTGCAAAGTGTAATTGTGAATTTGCAGGTTTTTATGAAGAAACTCTATGCAGATGCACTACTGATAAGAAGATGTTAATGTCAAGTTAATACTTAGTCTTCCATTTGAACCAGGTTTGGGAATGGGGGTGTTTTCTTTAAAACAATCACATATTAGATTTTTCCATAAACTCTGAAGTTTGCTTTAAATACTCAAAGATAAAATCCATACTCGTTGCTTGTTAGGTTGTTGGGTTTTGGCCATTAAGGCTCATTACAGTCACCCAAAGGTATTGTATGCTGTATACAATTGGTGACTGTGGCGACCCTCATGTAGAACTTGCTAGTAAAATTGCAGAATGACAGTACCTGAGGTTGAAGTCTGCTGGAAATGGTCAGCAGAGGATAATGTGTAAGGAGAAGGGAATGGATTGTGTTTTTAAAGTCCAGAGGTAAGTTACAAAGAGTTATGTCTCATAGTATAGCACGTAACTGGGAGTTATGCCTTGTTCCCAGTTTTGGATTCTGCTGCTTGTTTATTGTGTGGCCTTCAACAAGTTACTAAAGAAAGATTTCATAAATAGCTTTAGATTTTGAGTGTTCAAACTCAGTCTTTCTTTCAAAAGCATGAAGCACAACTGCAGGGACATATATGTTCATCATGCCCAGCATAATACAAGGTGGACACTAAAAATAAAAAAAAAAACCCTTGAAAAAAAGTTGATCTTCTCTCTGCAGATGCAGGTGATTTTACTTCTCTACTGCTAATGATTGTTGTGAAGATTAGTTAACTCATGTCTGTAAATGCTTTGAGAGCCTTAACTGGAAAATGCTGAAGAGGTGCAAGGTGTTAATATATTGTACTGAAAGAATGGCAGCATGAGAAATCTGAAATAATGAGCAAAACACTGGGGGAGGGGAGAGGGAGAAGAAAGGAGGAAAGCAAACCTTCTGCTAAATACAGCCAAATAAAAATATTTTGACTAAATAAAACCCATTTAACTTCTTTTTTTTTTTTTTTTTGTTCTTCCCAGTGCTAATGATCTTTTCTACTATCTATGCATATCATTTACAGAGAAAAATAATTGAAAAAATAGCATAATCTCATTAAAAGACAGTAGGTGGAGTGTGCCCTCAGAAAGACACTCACTCTCTCCTGCTTGGACTACTCTAGAAGTCTAGCACTTCAGTGTAGAGACCCAAGCTGGATGTCTGCATGCTGTCCTTCTTCCTAGGCATACACCTACATAGGATACTGCAATGGTCTGGTGACAGACAGTGATTTCGATCTGGAACAACTCAATCACATTCTTCTTTTCTGCTGCGTTCATTCATATTTTCTGCTGGATTCATATGCATGAAGCACAGGTGGGTGGCAAGTTGCTGTTGACAGAAATAGTACGAGAGAAAGGGTTGTGATGGCACTGAGGAAAAACTGGGACGATGAAGGTGGCTGGTTGATGGGGCCACACACACACCAGCAGCCTCCGAGTGCCCTGGCCAGCTCGCACCCTCAGCGCACAGGTCCAGACACTGCATCCCAGCTCCATCTCAGGCCTTGCCTGAGCTCTGCTGTAGGTAGGCTTGTGCCCAGCCCTCTCCCCGCTGCTCCCAACTTCTTCACTTGTTTTTGACCTGGGATCGGACTTGTCACCTTGCTTTTGGCTGACAGTTGCTGGACATGCAACAAAACCTTTTACTGTCACCAGCCCCACTCCATGTTCCTGTGCCCAGTGTGGTGGGACTGTGCCTCTCCTTTGTTGGACAGATCACTTCCCTGCCTAGGCTGGGGTTGTCTTCCTCTGTGGAAGGAAGCCACTCTTGCAGCTGACTGACAAAACACAACTTGCTTAGGGAACCGCTGTCACTCCAGGTTCAAGAAAGGAAAGGACTGGCCACCAAGGAAGCTAAAACCTGTAAAAACTAAAAAAAGAGGAGGACTTGCAGTGTTTCCTCAGACAGAAGACAGTACCCAGAGGTATTCTGTAAGTGCACACAGACAAGCAGATTGTGTGCAGCAGAAACAAAAGGACATACCTAAAATTATCAAGATTTCAATGTGAAAATAAGGAAGACATATCTGAACATAAAACTGACAGAACAGTGTTGTATGCAACATTCTTAAGGATGGCCTTTTAAATTGCTGAACGAGAAAATCAAGGATATCTGCAGCAAGATCTGAAAACTGTCGAAGAAAATTATTTGTGCTAGGACTTCTATACAATGAAAAAATGGAAAGAGCATCCCGAAAGGGATAAGGGTACAGCCTGCTGCAAGTCGTGTTTGAGATCTGACAGAATGCATGGGGCCTGGACAGACTGACGTAGTTATGATCTACTAGTGGTAATTCATAACATGATACTACACTAGAAATCACCACCAGGGCTCTTCTGGAGGATTTCCTGTGGATTAGAAGAATCCAGGTAACTAGTCTGTGTCTGCTTTTATTGTGTGACCATTCAATTTTTGAAGAACAATCATATATTCAATGGAATAAAAATAGTTACATAATTGATCTCGACGTAAAATTATATATGGGGAGTCATGGGAGAAGGGCATATTTCTAGTGTGCTTCGAGAACCAGTTTTAGACTTTTTGTAGATTTTTTTTTTTCTTAAGACTAAATCCCTATAGATTGTAAATCTTAAAGCCTGGAGAAGTGGTAAAACTGAGGACTCCTCTCCTACAGAATGATAGGGCTGACCTGGTAAGATCCGCTCAGACCAACAACTGGTGTTTCAAGAAGGCCAAATGCAAGATCATATATCTAAAGGCAAATAATGTATACTTCTCAATGTTATACAACTTTTATTTTTATCTAGTAGGAGATCATATTTCAGACCACTTGCCTCTGTAAAACAGTGCTTAGTATTTTTAAAGAACCAAATTAGCAAGTTGCAGGCCTTAGATCAATATATACTTCAATATTTCTGGCATTGCTACTCCTTTTGACCTCCAAAACCTTATTGTGACCATAAATCAAAATACAGGGAAAGTTCAGAGGCTACTTTCCTCTCTTTAAAAAATGATCTGATGTGTATCATAGCATTTTTATTTTCTGTATGGAATTGGAAGAGTGATCGTTACCCACACACAAGGAAACTGCTGCTCTTAGGCAGCCTGTGCCACGAGTGAGAGCCACTTCCAGGATGGGTCACGTAATGGGGCCCTTGGAAGTGTTTTACCGACCTAAGGAGATGGTGCTTTGCCAGTCAGAATCAACGTGCAAGCTGGGCTTAAGCGGGACAGGAAAGGGATGGCTGTGTCAACCACATTTGGTGACAAGTTTTATGTCATGCTAATAGGGTGCTGATTGGCATCGAAAGATGCCATTTAACAGGACAGCCCTTGTGAAGT